TCATTGTTGTTTGGCAGGCCCTGGCTGGATTTGAACCCCCCACCTTAGGTGTATGTGGCTGGCACCTTGGCCACTTGAGCCACAGGTGCCAAGCCTGAATACACAATATTAACCTGAAAACAATAGACTTGGAATGAACTAGGTGGTAACACTTATACTAAATTTATTACGGCTCTGTTAGACCAGTTCACTTAGGTTTAATAGCCTCTGAGTCAAGAATGTTGGCTACTGCTGACTTGCATGGCTTTGGACAAGTTGCTTAATTTTTGTGCCCCTGTTTACTTACATATAAAATGGGGATAATAATACTTCCTACATTGTGAGACTGTTGTAAAAGTACCTGCAGTTCTTAGATTAAAGGTAGTATGTGAGTACCAGAGTAGTTATTATTAGTCTATAAAGTGCCCTAGAAACCACGGATGAAAGAGATTATTGAGGTACAAAGCTCTTTGTTTTATTATTCTTATCGCTCATTATACCTTTTGTCTTTCCCATTCTCAGTATTCCCAAAGATACATTTCACAGCCAGGCTGTTTCCAACATTGGACCAAGATATGTAGCTGAGTCAGTCCTAAATTGCAAGATGTTTGCATATCATCAATCTTTATGTATAGTGTTCTGATGAAATAATCCTGAAGGTCTTGGAGCTTGGTTTCTCAACTTCAGCACTGTTGTCATTTGGGGCTGGATAGTTCTTTGTTCAGAGGGCTGTCCATTATGGATTGTTTAGGGCCTCCTTGGCTTCTACATACTAGACACTGGGGCACGTTCTCCCCCATGTTAGCCTGAAATAAAATGTTGAGTGACCCACATGTTCTTAAGAAAAAGAAATATGATGATGCAAACAAAACAAAAAGCTTCATTTTAGTATGTCAGAGTGAAACTTACTCTAAATGTTGTCTTAATGTTTTCCAGGCAGGGTATTAATGTGTATGTATTGCTATGGTGTGAAATAGCCTGTTTGCATGTGCTGAAACAATCATATATTGGGAAGTAGCCATTTCACCTGCCACGCAAATATTTCTGGAACATATGCAATTCATCCTTGAAAATCAAAATTATACATGTGCATAGTAAAAAAAAGTTAATACATGTTCCCTGCTTCCAAAACTCTCTAAGCAGTTTCTGCTATTACAGATCTTCATGTTTATTTTTAATGTGTTTATTTGCTATTTATTTATTTTTCCATTTCAGATATCCTACTACAGAAGAAGGGGACTTAGCTCTCTTACAGTAACTACACACATGCTTTTTATACTCCTGAACTCCCTCTATATGTTGCGATTTTTATTGAATAAACAATGTTTAGACTATTATTTGTGAACAATATTTGTATATGACTGTACGTTCAGAGCTGAGCTGTGTGGTTTACTATAATTCTGTTTTCTTTTTTTTTTTCTTTTCTCTGAGACAAGGTCTTACTCCGTCACCTGGGTGAAGTGCACTGGTGTCATCATATCTCACTGCGGCTTCAACTCTCGGGCGGAGCTCAGCCTAAAGTAGCTGGGACTATGGGTATACCCGCCTGATTTTTTCTATTTTATGTACAGACAGGGTCATGATGTGTTCAGGCTAGTTTCAAACTTGTGCCCGCAAGTGATCCTCCTCCCTCAGCCTCCCCAAATGCTGGGATTACAGGTGTGAGCCACTGCACCCAACCATATGATTGCACTTCTTTTTTTTTTCTTTTTTACAACTGTTTTTCCTTGTTATACTACTGCTTTTTTTCTTGCATTTAAAACTTGCCTCTTTTTTTTCATTATTAGCTTTTTTAAATACACGTCAAATTTACAGCCAAATTTTCCTCCTCTCAATGATGCGGAAAATCGCAGGAAATCACGTTGGATAAGGCAGGGGTCCTCAAACATTTTAAACGGGACCAGTTGGAGGGCCGGACTATGGGCCCCGGATGAGTCGGCTGCTAAGCAATACAGGCAGCGGCAGCAAAAACACCCGGCAGGCCAGATAAATGTCCTAGGCGGGACTTAGTTTGAGGATGCCTAGGATAAGGTATCAGTTTTATTTCTCTCTCTCTCTCTCTTTGGAGGCATCTTTTCTAGAGCCCCCTGTTCCCTGCTTTAATATTTTAGATTGATGTCAAGGTCTGTTGCTCTGTGATCATCCTAGGATTATGTTTCCTTAATGTCTTGGGACTTGATTAAACATTTGTTGGGACACAGAACTCTAGGTTGGAAATCATTCTCCTTCATAATTTTGAAGACTTCACTGTATTGTCTTCTGGTTTCCAGAGTTGCTGTTGAGAAGACCCGATAGCATTTTTCTTAACCAGATCTTCTGAAATACCTTGAAGAGATGCTCTGATGTGGTCCTTTTATTATTACTACGAGGGCACACGGTGGACCCTTTGAGTCTGTGTCTGCC